GTTTGTTAACTCAGCTGTCTCTCTGAACTTTAGAGTGATCATAGCTTAGACTGGTTCAGAAGTCACTACATTACCTTCTGCCAGCTATGGCCAAGGAACTCATTCACCGCTATGGCATTCTGGGCATACATCAGAGGGGAGGACCAATAGCCCCAGATCCAATATTTCTTGATGTTATCTGCAGAAGAAAAGTCAATTACATGCTCCTGGAACTATTAAAGCAATGGGTGAATGAAGACTTGTCTTACCTCTTGCTATCAAGAAGCCACCAAGAATCAGAAGAACAAGCTGCGCGAATGACCCAAATGTGTCTGCGACAACCATTTCTCTTCCTAGTGCAGCAAGAAGCCGGAAAAGACCAGATGCCATCTGGCTGATTAGTACGAGCAGCAGGTAATGGCGAAAGAACCTTTCGATGTTTGGATCAAAGCCAATGACATAGTAAGTCATGCCAATCCACACAGCGCATTCCAAGAATGATATTGGTATCTTTAGCAACCATGTAGGCAATGCATATGCCCATGATGGATAGAAGAGGAGGTCCCTCTGCTTATAGAATATCGGCAGCTTTGCAATACTCATGGCGAGCTCAGCAAAACCATTGAACAAATGTGTGACTAGTCCAAGGAACATAGCGCCCAGAAATATCACTCCATCTTCGACACTACGTCGATGCATTGTTGTGCGCAGGAAGACCGTCATTGCAATGGTTCCAAGAATTATGAGCTGGTGCAAAAATGGAACATTCATCAGAATTTACTGTCTGAATTTGGAAGTTGAGAAGATTTCAGGAAGCAAGATGAATACCTGGACTACTTTGAAGATATAAACAAATGAGTTCCTCTTCATCAGCAGCCACTCCCTAGAAAAGCATGCTCTTAGAAGCTCCATCTTGCTGATACCATACTTTGACGTTGTGAGAGCTGCAGGATGGTTCCTGGTGCGATCGAAGGGCTCCTTGAGCTCTGATCCCTGCTTACGCCCAACGTGGAATGCTTTGAACGCCTCTGAAAAGTCATTAACTGAGATGTATCTGTATGGCTCCTCTCTTCTACACCAGTACTGGTGCTGATCCTTCCTAGATGTAACCTGTGATCACAGAGAGCAATGTCATATTGGGTTCCAAGTCTGAACGTGCAGTAAATAGGATTCTGCAGGATCACTCACTTCTTGCAAGAAGTCTGCAACACCTTTTCTCTCAGGACATTTGAAGCCCATGGCCTCAAAGAATTCAAGGACATTCTCCCGAGGACCCTGGTATACAATTTGGCCCTCAGAGAGGAGAACAATGTCATCGAAGAGCTCATATGTTTCAGGCGCAGGCTGAAGCAAAGCGATAAGTGCAGTTCCACCAAGGATGTGGACCGACTGCCTTAGAGAGTTGATGATCTGATATGTTGTGGAGCTGTCCAGACCGGTGGAGATTTCATCCATGAATAGCGCCTTAGCTGGACCAACAAGCATCTCGCCTGTGAAAATTCAACAAGACATGAAGTCAGATTTTTCGATCAGGGTCGAAGGGCTTGATGCACAAATCTTAATTTAACTGCAGATTGCACATACCGGTTGTGACACGCTTCTTTTGCCCTCCTGAGATACCTCTGATCATAGAGTCTCCAACCATTGTATCTGCACAGATCTCCAGACCTAGAATCTGCAAAAGAAATACAGGTACTGTTAGAGGGCATATCCATTTCTCCTATTTCTTTTTGTGCATTATATTTTTACTTGCCTTGAGGATGTAATCTGTGACCACGCTCTCCTGACCTTCCACGGAGATAGCCTGTTTTCACAGAAGCACAAATAACTTTGAGTAACCTTTGTTGCTTCCAATTTAAATACAGGGTTTTTATTTGAATTAAATGAATTTTACCTTCATGTAAACATCGATATCAGGATCTGGCTGAATGTTGGCTTCTTTCTCCCTTCTTGAAAGTTCAGTAAGCATGTCTGTGTAATTGAAAACACCATCAGATTCAGTTTACCAAAGGTGAATAATTATCTTTGTTCCTTTTCAATGTCAATGTTACATACCATAACGTGTTCCAACTCCTTGACATCTTGCAGAGAAGGCAAGTGTTTCCCGGACTGTCATTTCACCGACGTGAATATCGTGCTGCCCGATGTATGCCGATGTCCTTTGAGGGACAAATTCATCCATGTCATGACCATTGTAGGTTACTCTTCCGGACACCTGAAAATTTCCATTGCAAGTTCATCCATTTTAGTACAATTTACAGCTATCTTTCTCCCAAATACATACTCTTTTTTTTTTTGGACTAGGATTTTGAAGTTGACAATCAATCTCTTTCAAGAAAAAGAGGTTGACAGTCAAGAAAGTATTGCAAGGTGTGGTACCTTCAGAGTTGAGTCAAGTTTCCCTGCCAAAGCCAGAAGTAGACTTGTTTTCCCAGATCCAGGAGGGCCAAGCAGCAAAGACATTCTGGACAAATAGCCAATAGTAAGTACAACTGCAGAGGAAAAAAAACTGAAATCTTGCACTTTGAAATTCTTTGGTTTCTTCTTACCTGCCGGGTCTTATGATTCCACTGATATCGTGAAGGATAGAGATAGGTCTCTTCCCGCTGGAAACGATGTGCATAGCACTTAGTGCATCCTGTGATAGGAGCAGCTTACAGGAGTTAGTAGCTGAAGGAACTTGACATGTTTTTCTTTTTCCATGTCTAGGAAGCATCAAGGTGCCTTTCAGCAGATGAGATGCATACCATGACTTTGTTGGAGAAGAAGTTGGTCATCGTCGGGACACCCCGGTTGCCGACGTAGGCCTCGGCGTCGATGTTCAGGTGCTCAAACCGTACTTCTATCGTCGGGTTGTCGATCCCAACTCTGCGAAAACCAAAAAATCATGAATAAGTTAGTGAATACATAGCACGAGATGCTTCTTTGTGATTTTCTGCGCAATGAAATGATTCCTGATGCTTGTGCAGATCATTTCCAAATTCCAAAGTCCATCTGAAATCTGATTTTTTTTCCCAGTCCAAGGACAATTGAAGCAAGCAAGAGTAGTGGGTGAGTGCTCACCGCTCCATGCGGTCGCGGAGCTTCAGCAGGAAGCGCTCGTTGTCCTCCTCGGCTGTGCGCACGAGGCGCTCGATGAGGTTCTTGCGCTCCTGCATGCCGAGCCCCTGGATGTCCACCTCCTCGATGCCGGCGGTGCCGGCGCCCGTGAGGATGCCCTTGCGCATGCGGTCGTAGGTGGGCAGCTTCTCGATGGCCGCCCATCGCAGCGCCTCCTCGTCGTCCTCCTCCCGCACGGACCGGCCGAACGCGTCGCTCCGCCCGGACCCCCGCCACGACGACGCCGTCCGCCTCATGCTCCCGCTGGCGATGCTCCCCATCCGCATTAAATCCATCCTCGCTCGCCCTCACAGGTCACAGCTCGACTGTCAAACCCCCTCTGTTCTTTGTCTTTCCCGGCCACTTCTCCTCCCTGCTTGAGCTTGACTCTGTTTAGGCTTGTAGCTTGCTGATCTCCGTGAAGAAGACGAGGAAGAGGAAGAGGAAGAGGAAGAGGAAGGGAGAGGTGTTAGTGTCTGAGGAATGAGGAGGTGGCGACGAGGTATAAATACCTGCTCGCGCTAATGCTCGTCGGGGAAGGTGATTAGTGCGTGCGAAGTGCTCTTAGGTGGCGGGCGCGTCGCTCACTTGATTCGCGGGAAATTCGGCCGTTAGAATCTATAACTAGCAGTTTCTTATTGCTTTCCTATTGCGAGTCCAGCGTAAATAGTTTGACCGTTTGAAATTTTGAATGGGCTCCGCTGTGCGTGGCTTGACCGGGCCCGAGCTGTTCGCTGTCGCTGGTCTCTCGTGTCCTGCTGGACGACCGCCTCACTTGGCGTTCGTTGCTTCCTTCACCGGCCGGGACGAACAGTTGTCTTGTGCCAAAAAAAAAATCGTCGCCTTTCCCAATTGCCGTCACGTCCAGGATAAGTGGGTAGGGTAGCCAACGTTAACCACCCGTGTTAATTAATTAATAGTTATCCTTCGTCGCCGGTCAAATAAGTCAAGAGAGCACAGACCACGCCACCTGCGTCATGGAGGGTCTGAGTGAGAAGTGGTCAAGATGGGCCTGCGCCGATTGGCCGTTGGCGTCGACGGCGACCGTAGAATCATGGCAGGCGGCAGCTACGAGTCAGAGATGGCCTGCTCTGTTTCATGGACTTTGGAGCCTCGACTCCTCTCCTTGGGTACAGCGTAGAGCAGCGGCACTACTTCACTTCGGGTGGAAGCATGCAGTCTTCAGCTACTCAGCTGTCATCATTTGTCCAGAGTCAGAGCTACTAGAGGGGAAGGGGTCCTCGTGCGGATGCTGATGACCGTGACGTGGCCGTGTTTGACGGCCCGAGGCCGGTGACCCAACTCGCCGGGCCGGCGAGCCCCCGTGCGGTGGCCTTGCTGAGTTGCGGTGGCTGGCCGGGGATACGGGTGGCCCAGCGGCGAGCGCTTCTAAATCATATATAGTCGCAGTACCTTACCTTTAGCTTTTTTAGCAAAACGAAACTTAGTTCCAGCAAAACAAAAGGTTGTGCACTCTTTTGACTGCATTTTGCTTTTACTCTCGTCAGGCTAGGCAAGTAACCTCAGGGAATTATTACCTACCAGATCACGGTGTCAAGCTCAGGCATCAACGCAGGCCAATATGTCTAGACATCATCTCTGTCGCCAAATGCAGATATATGTGATTGATAAACATGAACAACATTTCTCAAGACAAACTTGCTTAACTGAACAGCTGACTCATCACGATCACATCATGCCATATCAGCAATAGTCAGGCCGGCTAATAAATTCAACTTTGAAAAGACAAGTCCGGACTCCGGACCACAATAGCAAATGCGCAGCCACTCATTTTCTGGCCCTTACATAACATTTTATGTTTCTAGTTACAGTACAGTTCTATTACATGGCAAATTCCAAACTACAAGTCTAACAAATTAGTAACCTCACAAACCATGACAGCTGGCGGCCCTTTTGGGTGTTCAAACCACACCATTCTCATACATCGAGCCATCTCTGGTAGTAGCATCTTCGGCCATGTCAAGCTCGACCATGGCAGCATCAACAAGAGACTAGGAATCAAAACAGAAAGAGTCAGCACACCGCCCTCACCATGCTAACACAAGCAAACCAAAACGACTGGATAATTGTTCTCAACAAACACTAATGAATACATGACCATGGAACTTAGTCATGAAAGAAACAAAATGGTGAGAAAATAACCTGCAGCCTCTGTTCAGCTGTTTTGACCCTATCGTTGTAGTCTTGAAGTTGAAGAAAATGTTTGTACAGCTGCATTTATAATGATTTCATCAGACAAGCCATTGCAGGACTACCAATTGCATCTTGCATAAATAAGCAGCCAACAAGTGAAGAGCACATACGCCTGTAACAGCTAATTGTCGTTCTGAAGAGACTTTCCGTGCAGCAACCAGTTCATCCTCTAATTTCTGCAGTTTGACGCGAAAAATGTTTTTTTTGACTCATCATCAGAACTCATCCCAAATGAGACTCTAAGAGATGGCCAAACAGTGGCTATCTCATATACGAATGGGCCAAATGATGACAGCAGAATCCTTTGAAAATCATGACATAGATCACCTGAGCTTTCTTCTGCAAATCTGCAATGTGCTGTTCTTTCGCAGATATTTTATCCTTAATCTGGTTAACCTGCAAAGCTCATAATATAAAAATGCAAGAAACAGTTAAATCATCATGAACAAAAGTACTCATGCCTATCTAAAAAGTAGCTGAGTATACTATCAGTCTATCATGGCTCGGATCGTGCATCCCATGCACTATATAACTTCAGCTGAAAAGATAATAATATATATTGTAATGCAATAGGCAACTAATTGTGAAGCTTTTTCTGAGTAAATAAGCCCTGTGCATTCAGTGATCAATGCATGACTGTCATCTGAGGTATCCAAAGCATGTCAGTGTATAAAATAAAACTGAGCTAAATATGAAAAATTCTGTAGAAGTCAAGCAGAAGATAAATCCTAAATGGGACTACAAATTCAATAAGCATTTATCCTTTTATGTACCTCGCAAATGCAATTGAGTTCATGATCTAATTCTGCAGGTCATCAATATCCATAAATCTACATCCATTAAGCCTGGAGAACTTTGATTACTTTCACATTTGCATTTAACATGTTTTCATCTTTATATTCCGAAAGCAATGTAGGCAAGTTAACTTAAATGGACTCTGGCAAAGAAATAAATCCATCATGATTTTACACCAACTCTGAGATAGTGTCAGCTGATTTTATGGTTTCCAGATCAAACTAATACAGAACAAGGTCTTTAAGGAAATGGCGTGCCTCATTTTCAAGGTCCTCACGCATCTGAATAGTTTTATCCAACTGGTCCTTTCCCTGATATACAAAAAGAGATAAATGAAAATTTTACGAAAACAAAAAGGAGTGATATAAAGAGTCAGGAATGTAAATGCCTCGGTTTTTTTAAGATGCACTTACATCATTTTGAAGATCATCACTGGAACTCGATAAATCTCTGCTATCACGACCTTTTGGGCGGCTGCATAGAGAACATTAGGAAAGTAAATGCCTAGGTTTTTTTAAGGATTATAGTTGATCCATGAAATATTTTCTATAGTGGTACAACCTTTCTTTATAAATAGACAGTAGTCAGTACATTAAAATCTGGACTTAAGAGTTAAGACACAACAATGGTGTAAATTTCACAGTAAGGGCAACCAAACATGGTCTCCAATAATGTACCCAGTTCCTTATAAAAAAAAAGAGAAAATTGGTTTTATAGCATCGAAAGATCACGAGATTCGGAAAATACCACCGAAAGAACTCCGTTACGTAAAATACCACTAAAAGATGCAACTGTTGTCTGAAACTAGCATTCCGTCACGTTGAAGGTAACAGCGTCAGCATCGTCGATTCCCGCCCATCTAAAGGCAAAAAAATCCAACTCCCAGCCGCTGGCAAGATGTAGCGCGCGTCAGCGAAGAACTGCGATGGGTACGCGTGCTCCACCAGGCACCAGCCGCCGGGGCGGAATGGCCTTGGCGCGCCTCACGGCCGCCTTCCGCGTGGCGAGGAAGACGGCCACGCCGGCGAGCGCTGTGGCGGCGGCGGCGCTGGCCACGGGCCCGGCCTTGGCCTTGCTGCCGCCGCACGCCTAGACGAGCACGATGCCCATGGCCAGCACCTAGTGCCCGCTCATCACGACGCTGGCCACCTTCGGTCCGAGCTGCGCTCAGATCCGGAGAGGTTGTTGCGCACGAGCACCAGCGACCGCAGCAACCCCATGTCCCTGACGGACTCCGGCAGCGCACCCTGCAGCGAGTTGTTCCGGAGGCATCAATGCTGGACGTCTTGGGCAGCGGAGGCACGCTGGTGCCAGGCCCCATGATGTGGAGCTGCGTCACGCTGTTGCCGTAGCACTCGACGAAGGCGGAGGCGGTCTTGTAGTCCCCGCCGTAGCAGAAGTCAGTGCTGTAACTGCTGTTGGCCCAGGTGCGGAGCACCGGCGGGTAGTTGAGCAGGTGCTGGATCTGGAGCAGCGACCATGTCTGCAATGACTGCAGCTGTTTGGACTCGGGCACCATTCCTAGCACTAGCAGCAATGGCAGCAAGATGAGCAGAGGATGCCGGCAACCTCCTAGAGCCATTCTTGGACCTTACTTACCCTTGCTGCTCTAGCTTGCCACAAAGAGGAAGGGGATCCACCTACGCCGGAGCTGAGGAAGATGAAGGGGATGGGATTTCCACTGGTGCTCACGTTGGAAGAAGGGAGGAGCAACGGTGGACTCACGTCGTTAGTTCATATCGTGACAGAATGGTAGATTCGGGTAACAGATCGTTTCTTCAGTGGTATTTCACGTGGCCGTGATATTTGAGTGGTATTTTCCAGATCTCGTGATCTTTGGATGCTATGAAACCAATTTTCCCAAAAAAAAATGTACCTAGTTTCAGCATATGATAATGATTGCTGTATAGTATACAAGTTTATGCAATCTGCAAGGCCACTAGTCAACATACAAGAATTTTTACACGTTAGGGCAAACAAATCATCAAACCTGCTCATCATTCTAATTGTCCAGCCACTATTCACTATATTAACTTAAAAAATAATTGAGTGGATACAGAGAGTAATGCAGGGAAACATATAAATATCACTAAAAATTGCTGTTCAAACTTCTCTAAGGTGAATATGGCCCTTTTCTTATTTATCTACCCCTCCGTTCCAAATTGTAAGACATTTTGGCTTTTCTAGATACATTGCTTGTACTATGTATCTAGACATAGCGTACATCTAAGTGCATAACAAAAGTGATGTATCTAGAAAAGCCAAAACGTCTTACAATTTGGAATGGAGTATAAGACAGCATGGCTACAAGGCTACAATCAAATTTTCCCTAGTACGTTCCAAGATCTTGAAATGCGACACCCAAGTTAAGGACTAAGAGATGCTCTAGCAAATTAATTTCAAATGGCCCAAGAACATCAATTAAGCACTCTGCAAATACCTAAAATATACATATCAATATACCAAACACAATGTTGTTTTCATTCAAATATTAAAAATAGCTACCATGGTTAGCAATATCAACATAACTCCACTATGAAAAACAAAATCAACATGGCACCTGAACCTTTTTCTTGTTCCATGTTCCCTATCTTTGTCATTATCTGAATCCATATTATGCATTTCTGCTGCACGATCATGTTCTCTAGGACGTCTCTCGTCTACTTCATGATCTCGATCCATGGGATACTCAATTTCTCGATTAAAGCCACCATGCTCATAATCTCTTTCTCTATCATGCTCACGGGATCTATCACTATCCCTGTCATGGTAGGGATCTCTTTCACGATCATAGCTCCGTTCCCTGTCCCTTCTGTCCCAGTATGGATCTCTACCATACCTTCTTGGATCTCGTCTGAAACCATCTCGACCAAAATCTCGGGGACCTCTTGTACGCACTTCATTTACTCGAACAATACGATTGCCTAATTTCTGTTCCAAACAAAAAAGACGTGTTAAACAAAAGATAAAGGAAAGGTGCCAAGTAAGTTAAAACAAAAGTAAGCATACTGCATACCTTGCCGTCCATGCCTGCAATTGCTTGCTCAGCAGCTCTGGGGTGAGTGAAAGTAACAAAACCATAACACTTGCCTTTGACACCATGATCATTAATCACCTGCAATGCACAAATTAATCAGAAAACAAAAGCTACATAATCATGCAGCCTCAAAACAGTTGGTTACATCACTAGGAAGCATCAACTGCTAAATCATACTAGCAAACAAGTAAAGCAAAATCAAAGGATATTGCTTCTGTCTTCCCTGTATGTGTGTATGTGGTTTGTCAATTCCACATATCACATTTGCAAATGATGATGCCATCATCTTCACACCCCTCTCAGTTGAAGAAAGATGCTCGAGACTATTATAAACTATAATGCCCTCGAATTCATGATTCACCACTGATATCCATTTGGAACAGCTCTTCAAATACCTTAAGGTATCGAATGAACTAATAACAAGGGGGAAAGGCATGCCAAAGAAAACCAAACATCTACCGTGCAAATACAGTAACCAGATGAACTGAAAATCTGAACTCAAAACAATTCTACCTGCCAATTCATTTTGGCATTAAATTAGTTTAGCCATCAAAAACTGGGAATGGGAGCACAGCACCTCCTCTATTTTCTTTCCTCTGTGTTCTCTATTTTCTCTCCTTCGTGTTCTCATGCTGTTTGCTGTTTTTTGTAAGACAATCACTCCCGAGATCCTCACTTAAGATCCTAAAAAAGGAGAAGAACCTTTTGCCGAAGAAAAACGTCACCAAAAAAACCCACGTAATAAAATGAACCCGCTTTTCCGACATATTTCAAAAAATATATATATCACCGGCCGCAGCACAGCCTCACTGCATCGAATCAAACCAGCAACACCCGGCAGACTTTCTCGGGAGCAAACGCGGGAGCTGGCTAAACGGGGAGTAGAGGGGGAGGAGCGGGGCGAACCTTGACGGAGACGATGGTGCCGTAGTACCCGAAGGCGTCGCGAAGCATCTCCTCGTTGGCCTCGTAGGGAAGGCCGCCGACGTAGACCGAATTCACCTCGTCCACCGCCATCTCTCTACTCTAGCGGCCGTCGGCGACGGGGCGGCCGGGCGGGGGTGCTAGGGTTTTGGGTTTTCCCCTCTCGCTCTCGCTCGCTCACGCCGCGGCGACGACGACCGGGTGTGGGGGGGGGAGGGAAAGACGGGAAGGCGAGATGTCGGATCTGATCTGGAAAAATCACGGGTCGGCCTGTCCCCTCGGCATCTGCGGGACAGCTGATCTCCACCGTCCGTTTCGCTCACGGGGCGATGGCGTAGTGTGGATGGGCCAAGTCCCCGGCGTGCAGAACGTCAGAGCAACCTGTTCTCAGTCTTGGCCCACTTAAGGATATGGCCCAATTGGAATTTTTCCTGTGGGCTTTTCGGCACAACTGGTGAAGAATTTAATGGAAAGAAGTCCATTTAACCTCACTCAATTATTGCGTGAGTCCGATTTGCTCTTTCGAAAAACCAAATTTTAAACTCGTGAAACCATCCGATTTATCTCTTTGAGCGGTTTTGAAAGCGTTCTTGGCTGTGTAGCGTCACGTCAGATGCCCTACATGGCGCCACATCCTGGTGTAGAGCATGATTTTAGGGAAAATATGAAACTAGTTTCATGTTTTTCTGAGTCTAAACAAATTTCTATTATTTTTATAATAATAAATAATATTTAATATTTTGAAATTCATATTTATTCTAAAAAATATTTGGACATTTTTCTTAAAAAATATTTCTATAATTTTTATAAAGTCTAATTGACCTTCGTGAACTATTTCAAAAATCTGATTTACCTCCCTTATTGCTAACATGGTGCCACATAGGACGACTGAACGTGGCTGCACATCGGTCAAAATTGATCAAAGAGGCAAATCGAACGGTTTCAAGAGTTAGGAGAGTCTAAAAATCCAATTTACAACTGAGGGAGGCAAATTAGACTCATGCAATAGTACTTTTTCCTTTTTATTGATGGTTATATGGTACTCCATCCGTCCCAAATTATCTGTCGCTTTTGGTTTCCGTGCCACAAGTTTGACTCGATTTGTAGAAAATACGTGCAACATTTGTATCTCCAAATAAATTTATTAAAAAGCTAGATTCAAAGATCTTTCCAATGGTACCAATTATGTACTATAAATATTAATATTTTTAATATATATTTTGTCAAAGTTGTTTCTCGGGAAAGCGAAAACGATAGATATTCTGAGACAGAGGGAGTACCTACGTATATACAGTGCAGGATAACACGCTTACTGGCTACAGTGCAGGATAGCATGCCTACACTCAGTTCATTCACAGGCCTGCGTTCCTCTCCATGGATGGCTAAGAATTTTGAGACAAAACAACGGCGAGATGGGGGTGGGGCAGAGAGTACATTGATTTTTACTCCCTGACTGCAGGGGCGAAGGGTAGTGGTGGCTAAACTGGGTCTCCGCCCCTCTTGGTTGACAAAAGTTTAATGGCCTATAGACCTATGCCACCATGATTTGATACTGAAATGAACAATTTGGCCCCATCTTGCTGGTGAGCCACGCTCCGCCACTGCCTGATTGTATCCATCATTGGTGCCTACTGTCTAATGTGGGTTGAATGCTTGTATAACACTCCTGCAAATTTAGAAGGATATAAGTGACCAGCTCAGACCTTGTTGCAATCATGTCGGTAAAGTGAGATCACTGATGTATCGGTAGTTCGGTACCAGGGAGCTAGTCGGCCAGCCACTGTCATGTCCCATCCATTATGTCTTTCAAGAACGAAAGGGGATATCGGCTCAGGATTATACACCTTACGGCACCACCGTGCCCGGGTACCCCTCTCTTTCACGAGGATTCGCCACATGTCGAGCCCCGGTAAATGTTGAATTTAATTAGGTTTGTCTAATTTTTATTCAGCAATTAAATCAATTGAAATTCTAAGATCAAAGTTAATGCTAGGTGTAATTAGTTGGGTAACTTATGGTTTGATGAGAGTTAAGTGCATCATGACCATTATGTGTTGGTGAATCATGATTTAGTGGTTCATGGTGTCATAGTGGTTTCCGTTACTAGTAATAGACAATTCAATTGTCGTTTCATAAGTTACTTGTAATGTACAATGACATGATGGCTGCTAACTCTTTATGCATCTAGCTCTGTAGCTTCATCTTCTCGTGTCGCTGCATAAAAGGGACACTCTTTCTCTTGTTCGTGAGCGAAAAGAGAGAAGAGAACACATAGTCAAAACACCGCCACACTGTTGTTGTGCTGCTCTCTGTCATCCCCGTCCCGGTTCCTGCGCGCACAGGAATAGGGAGACCAGGCCTCCGAAACCGGCGCCGTTCGTGGGTTCATCTGCTCGGGTGAAGACCGACAATCAGGTTTTTGGGGAGCGATCACGCGACTGCTCGATCAATCCACGACCTACGACTTCATCTTCTTCCCGGCATTCGTGACGACAGCAGGAGTTCGGCACTGCAACCTCTCTACACTGCATCGAGCGGGACGACTACACCAACAAGCGCTATGACAACTAGCGCAACCAGCTTAGGTGCCATTGGATATGTTCTAATTCATACTTTATCATTAGTGATTAAAATCATGATTATTAGTACCATCTACATGTTCTTAATCTTTTTCTGGATTAAATTAATACTGAAATTGCCTAAATTTCTAACAATCCAAAAACTTGATAGGCATTTTTTGGTAGTCGGTTTTGTGGGTATGCTGAAACCAATGTTTTTGAGGGCACATGTTGTAAGGAAAATGGACCCTAGGTCCATTTACTTTGGATTTTGGTATTTGATGACCAACACAACCAAATTGGACTAATAAATTTGTAAGTGATTGTTTTGTAGTTCAATAGGTGCAAGATGTGACTTGGATGAAGGCGATGTGATGATCCGATGATCAACACCATAAGCAAGATCTTAGAAGCACAAGAGAAGACCCAAGATATCAAGCAAAGTCGAAGCACGAAGATAGGAACCAAGCCGGACGCAAGATCGCGAAAAAACGAGCTCACAGAGGTGACCGGACGCTCTGATCAAGAGGCTCGGCAACAGAAGGCGTCAGCAGCAGCGATCAGATGCTGAACAGTAAAGTGACCGGACGCACTGATGGTACTATTCATCATCACCGGCAACACATCTAGTACTGACGACGGACGGCGTAAATCGACCGGACGTAGGACTGCAGCGTTCGATTGAGTACAGAAAGGTTCCAGAGCGGCGAAATTGCGACCGAACGCGTCCAGTGGCATGTGATCGGACGCTGGCAGCGTCCGATCAGTTGATCGCGGCTCTAACGGTCGGGACGACCGGACACGTCCGCTCAGTAGCAGAAAAGCGGGATTTCGTCCCCAACGGCTGCTTTCTCAGTGGGGCTTATAAATAGACCCCCAACCAGCCATTTGAGGTGTATAGAGCTGAGAAAACATATCTAGGGTGTTGGTACACCATTTTAGTGATCTCCACTTGCATAGTGCTTAGTGTTTCATTAGGTGATTAGCATATGTGCTTTGCGAAGTGCTTAGGTTGATTAGACCACCGCTTATGCGTTTGCTCTAGGTTTAGGCCTAGTGTTTAGTGAGGTTAGCAAACCCCTTAATACCCGGTGCTTGCGCGCATCATTTTTGTACATTGGAGGGGCTTGTAGTCTTGCGAGATCATACCAACCGCGTTTGTGTTGTGGCCGCCACCGTGTACTGGAGGAAATAAGGCCCGCGGCGTTTCGACCAAAAGCTTGATAGTGAAGACGGCGGGGAGCATCCGGGAGAGGCTTGCCGGAAGGCACGTCGGAGACCCACTTGCGCATGGGGACCCGAGGCTATCCACGGAGTTACCCGACCGGGAGCTTGGCCTTGCGAGGAATTGCGAGGGGCTCCAACGAGGACTAGGGAGAAGCTTGCGCGCTTCTCGATACCTCGATAAAAATACCAAAGTCGTCGACGGGAGTTTGCATATCTCTACCTTGCTCTTTAGCTTCTGCATTTACATTGTTTACATTACTCCTTTTGCGGTAGAGATAGCAATACACTAGCAAAACCGTAGTTGCACATTTAGATAGTTTATCTTTTACATAGGTTTTGCTAAGGTTAAAAAAGAGACCATAGTTTAGAATCGAAATTTTAAGTTGCCTAATTCACCCCACTCTTAGGCGTCACGGTCCCCTACACATGTTATATGTGGTGGCGTTAGAGATGCATATTATGGTTGACTGCTATGCATTGCTATTTTGTTGCTGAACCTAGATCAGTTGCACCGCATCCTCCTGAGGAGGAACGTGCGTTTCAAGACACTGATACTACGTTCAAGGGGACAATAATTAACATGCTAGGAGACTCTATAGTAGATGTATATGTGACTGCAAATTTGTAAAGAGATGTGGGATACACTTGAGGTCAAATATGGAGTGTCTGATGTTGGTAGTGAGTTGTATGTCATGGAGCAGTTTCATGATTGCAGGATGGTCGATGACCATTCTGTAATAAAATAAGCTCATGACATACAAACACTAGCGAAAAAACTCGAGAATTTTGGTACTGTGCTGCCGGACAAGGTTGTGGCGGGCTACATTATTGCTAAGCTGCCACATGCTTGGATAGACTTTACTACTTCTATGAAACATAAAAGACAGGAGTTTAGCATTGCCGACCTCATTGGCTCTTTAAATGTTGAAGAGAAGGCGAGAGCTAAGGATGTCCGCGGCAAGAAAATTATTGAGAGAAGTTCTAGTGCCCATGTGGTACAGAAAAATCCTCAAAATTCCCATAAGAAGAAACTCAAGTAAGAACTCAAACAAAAGACCACTACTCCTTTTAAGAAGAAGAAGAACACGGAGAAAGGCAATTGTTACACTTGCGGCAAACATGGGCATTACGCTAAGGATTGTGAGGAGAGCAAATGGAGGCCTAAGAAAAAGTCTGCAAACATAATTGAGGCTGATGAAGGAACATTGAGGTACGGTAATTTATTACCTATAGTTCTTTCAGTCTGTCATTCACCTGATTGGTGGGTTGACACAGGCGTCAATATTCGTGTGTGTGCTGATATTTCTT